AAAAAAAGAATATGTTTCTGCTTTATAAAGGAAACAGCTGTGGGAATATGCCAAGTCTTATTTGAATGTCTAGGATTTGTAAGTTTTATAAAAGTAGCCTACTATGAAAAAAAGATTGTTACTCTCATACACCAAGTAACAGTTGCAAAATATTATATTTTTCTATATCACATTGACGATCGTTGATGCACAGAAAAGGTTGACCCAGAACTTGCTTGAATTTACACTTGGCATCTCCTTATATGGTGTTGTCTTGCCTTTTGTTTCCGGTCGCGTGCCCCCCTCCCTCCCTCTCCGTACACCTCGCGCCTTCTGTCTGCAGCACGTGTGGGTAATGACGACAGGGAAATGGGTTCAATACAAGGGTTCAAAGAGCACTTCGCCCCGGGGATATGACGGCTCTTAAGAGGCAGGACTCAGGATATAAATGACATTTAGGTAGTAAGGCAGATTTTGCATGAAGTGACATTTAGGTGGCGATACGTTTTTTTTTTTTGTTTTTTTTTGAATGAGGTGAAACACCCCGCGAAGAACGAGTGCAGACACTGACAAGTGTTTTGATGTTTTAGTGCGGCACTTTGTCAGGGTGGATGTCAAACGCTCGGGCCATGCAATGAGGGGGTTAAAACACAGTCTGCTTTGTTTGGCGGATTTCTGTCCATAGTTTCCACACCAGCTGCAAGGACTGGTTAAGATTACATTAAGTAACCTGCTTGTACTTCAAAGTGCAAATGCAGATGTTGCAAATTACGCACAAACAGCTGCCAATCACAGACACGTGCAGGTCATTTCACTCAGATGTTCTCAGTGGCTTGAGCTGCACTTCACTGGTTACATTCAGCACAGCAGTGAAAAGTGCTGCTTGTAGCTGTGGCTGGCACATGGGTGGAGACTGATGATCTACAAAGATCAGCTTCAGTGAGTAAGAGTAAGTGTTTAAGTCATGCATGATGATCAAAATACAGCTGCAGAGTAGCAGTGTGATGGCTTTCAGATGTGTGTTCTCACAGTGACTCTCTGGGAAACACGGAGCAGTAAAGCCTGTGAATAACATTATGAAATTCGATGCTATGTTTCTGGATTGCATACAAAAGAAGTTCAATAGACGCTGCAACAGATGGTGAACTTGGATGGTTGAAGTGGTGTGAATGAGGGTTTTGATTTCACAACTGTAAGTGGCACACTGCTTGATAGACTCTGCAGGGCTGGACTGTTGTAATGAAAGTACCAAACAATGTCAATTTGGCTTTCTGCACACTTCAGCTGCTCAACTAATTTGGATGATATTGTACTCTAATTAAAGCTGCTATCATAGGCTATCTCTTTTGATTTGTTTGCAAAGTTAAAGTATGTGGTACTGTCCAAGCTGCTTGGAGACTGCAACATCCTCTATCCAAGTGTGATGTCTCTTGGTGGTGGGTATAAGCTTAGTTTGTTTTAATGATCTTAATTTTAAAACTACAACCACAGGATTCAAGAGAATGCAAAAAAATCCAAATATTTTTTGGATACCTGACAAGTTTCATCCTCCATTTCTCCTCTAGACTACATCAAACTTTTTTAGTGTCTTGCAGCTCTGGCTTTTTGTTAACAAATGCTAAAATAAGAAGATGTGTGCTGGCAGACTTTGATCTGTTTGTTGTGTGTGCGCTCCATACAAATATGAATCTAAATTGTGCTTTTTGGGTATATGCAGGCGACCTGCATATCCGGCGAAGCACACATACCCATTTTTTATCTGTCAGTAGCTACATGACAAGAGGTCAGCCCCTCAAGATCAAATATTTTTCTTACTAAATGACGGATTTATTAGACAAATAAGTTGTTCGTCTGACTCTGAACCCTCTGTGATTGAAATATACCCCTGTGTCAACAGCATCGCCTCTCAAACCGGGTCCCGGGCGATGGAGGGCTGCCACAGCGGATTACTGAGCAAATATAAGTGGGAAATGAGTGCAGATCTGGGGGATCTACCCATCCACATCCCCCGGTTTGACATTTCCGTCCAAAGGCCAACCTTTCCTGCGCATTGTTAGATCAACGGAGTCCCTCGATGGGAGCTGCTGTTTTCTTTTTTTGTTTTAAGATATTGCAGAAGTAGAAACAATGTCAAAAAACAAGGACAGCGCGCTATGTGTGCGCTCTCCATTTCTTTCTCTTTTTTTATCTTAGCTTGTAGTGTTGTAATTATAATGATCTAATCCATCTTAGCCAGGGCGCCTAACAGCTGCGATTAGGGGTAGGCCCACTCCCTTCCGCTCAGAGCTATAGTAAAAAGTCGTGCGCTCGTAAATCTAAGCGCCCTGCGTAACCATAGCGCGTGGTGAAATCATTATTTGGCGACGTGGTGTCAGAGACTCTCTCATCTCGTCTGTCAGGAATCCAATTTCCTTTTATTTACATCCACGGTATGGATTAATTACTCCCCCGACTAGTAGCCTGAAGGAATTAAGTTATGAGATCCTTTGGTAGGCTCCATGATTAATCCATCGCGGCCTATGCAAAGAGAGGAAGGAGAGGAGGTGATTAATGCGGACGGGACAGGACCGCAAACACTGTTACATAATAGTCATAATACTAATACTAATACTAATAATAATAATAATAATAATAATAATAATAAAAATAATAACTCACATTAAATCTAATTGTTAGAGCAAATGTGTTGTGTTTTAATGTGCGCAATTTGGACTTTAAGGTCCTTTTCATTGCCACAAGGCTCAGATGTGGCCGCCAACGCATCATGAGATAGGACAAGAGCAGGCAGGGAGGGTGTGAGGTGTGATTGGGGGGTCACGTAAACGATCCAGACATGAATATAGTGGGAAGGCCCTTTACAGGCCCAGGCAATAACGATACCTGCGATCAGGCGTCGCTGCTGCGGCCCCTACTATTGATAGAGCTTTAAGGGTTATGATATCGGTGAAGTTCCTGATGAAATACCCACCCTGATTAATAGAGGACTCTGTCGTAACGGGCTGACATATGGTAGGCGAGGCAGCTGGGGACGGTACCTCAAGCATCCCCTACGGCCATTAACATATTAGAGGCTATTGTGCAGGCAGACAGTCCGACTTCATCCAGAGCCCTTGTGCAGAGAGACAGCACCCCAGAGCTGTTTGATATAGGCTTTCAATAATGCATTACTCCTCAATCCGCCAACGGAGCTGTTCGTGGTGCTGAAATTATTGCCATGTGGCGCGTGTGGTGGAGATGCTGGTGCAGCGCGTGGAGTGTGTTCAGCGCCAGCGGTGTTGTGTTGCTCTCGGTAGGTTGTGTTAGATGGGGAAACTTTGAACTCGTATGATAAAATAATAGATATCAAGGCTGCACACACATGCACATACAGGAGGAATAAACGCTCATGGATGCAGTCTGAACTGTGTGAATTCGTCCAAAAAGTCCGAAATTATTCAGATTTTTATTATGAATAAATAAATTTAAAAAAAACATGCGATTACACCTCATAGAAGTTTATCTCTAAAAATATTTTCTCTAGATCTGTTTGTGCTCCGATTAAAAAAAAAAAAGAAAGAAATAAGGAAAATATACTCTCCTTCTAATAATCTCTACATTACAATTATTAACATTTATTTCCGCCATACTTTAAAGAAATAAAATCAAAATAATTCAAGTTGTAACATCTGGAAGTGCTGCAATGACCTACAACTTAACATGAAAAAAATATATATTTTTGACAAATTCTATCCTAAAACACTGATTATTAACAAATAAATCAGACTAAAAATATTTTACTCACGTTAAGGACTCGCTCACTCTTCTGTCCATGTAGCCAAAAGCTAGAGAAAAGCAATAAGGAGCAGCTTTCTCTGCTGTTAAACAGCGGCTTCCTTCACCCGCCTGCCTCCCCTCAAAGCCCCGATAGCTGTCTGAAAATATTGCATTTTATATCAGCAAGTCGCGATTAATATTGCATTACCTGCATTTAAAAATTCTCCTTTTATTTATTTATTTTCTTTTATAAATGCAGCGGACAGAGAAGCCCACCACCAAAGGAACAAATATATGGAGTGGATAGAAATATTTTAGAGGAAGGTGGAGGTCAGACAGTGGTTATTTTAGATAAATAAATCTACTTTTCTATTTTTTTCTGTTATTTCCTCTCTCTCTCTCTTACTCTGTGTTTCTCTCTGTTGTCAAGTGGAGCCGCTTTAATGCTGCTGCTGTTGAGTTATTCTGACTGTGCTGTGAAACTTCATTAAATCTTGATTGTCAGGCCTGTTTCAACACAGCAAACAGGCGGTAACTTTAGTTAGGAATTCCAGACATACAAATCAATGTTTCATTCAACAGCCCATTCTGCTGTAATTAAGCCCATTAGAGGGGCAAGCATGCAAATAGATGGGCAAGTAAAAGAAAACCACACACCAGACAACAAACCTATTTAAATCACTGGTTAGAATTATTATTAATTAATTTCGGTTGTGTCATTTTAAAAATGTATTAGCTATAAATTTGCTCAAATAGGTTAAGTGAAAGTATATTTCGTAATATTATTATAGGGTTTGCATTATTGTTGTTTTTGTTTTTGTTGTTAATATTAATACTGTTTACATGTCCACATTTATTTTTAATTTGGCACAATATTAAAGGTCAAAGAACAAGAGGAAAAAAATCAATTTCACTTTTAAATTGTGACAGTGAGCTGCAGTATTTTGATCTGACAATCATTATTTTATTTTACTTTATTTTATTTTATTTAAATTAGTCAAATTAACTCAGCCATAAATTGGACAAATTTTGAAGGCACCCAAGAATTATTTCGATTAATAAACGCTTTATCTCCATGAAAAAAAAAAAAAAAAAAGTTAAAATTATGTCATTTAAAATCCTAACAAAAATGCCATTTAAAATCAAATAACGTCTTAATTTCTATAGAGTTGTGGCCACAATAATACGTTTAAAAATTCCACCAATATTAACATCAAAACCGTAATGACTGTGTTCAGTGTTCAGGCCCAATCACAACCAGAAAAGCATCGTTTTCTTTCTTCAATTTATTAGAAGATTGCTGGAACACACCTCCCTGTTGAATTTGGCTTACAGGATGAATAGTACCAATGAAAGTAAGAGGACAACAGAGGAGAGTGGAGAAGTTGTGAGAGAGGAGGAGTAGGAGGAGGAGGAGGAGGAGGGAAGGAGACAGTGGGGACATTTTTTCCATGATGCACATGTCGCCGCAGTTTTTGTAAACATACCTGTGCACAAAAGTAAAATATTACTTACACAACGTTTTCCGTAACAATTAACACGACAAACAACGTGGTGATCTTAATGTGAAAACAGGCATTTAACAGTGACTTACACCATCCACAAAATAAAGTCTAGCAGTAGACAGCTCTACTGTACGCAGTGATTTCTTTTTCCAATGCATAGAGTGTTTGCACTGCAAACTGAAACACAGGAAAGGAAAAAACTTGTATTTTTTATTTATTTTTTTGTTCTCGTGGTGATCTCTCCTGGATGAAGCAGACAAGGCTTTTCGTGCTCTCTGGATCTGTTTTGCAAAGTTCTCCTTGTGATGCCAAATGGTGTCGATAGACCCTATAATTTATGTCCAAAAAGACAGGAGGCTCACCTCTGGTAAGTGACAAAGTGATGTCTGTATATACAAAACCATTTCGACATAACCGATCTATAAACCTAAAGGGTCTTTTGTGCAAATTCAAAATAAATATATCTCTAGATGTGACAGCCTATAGAGGCTAAATTACTGCCCGTGAATTAGGATTTCATGCAGGCCTAAACATTTTTTTTTCTTCCGTTAGCCATAAAAGTTTGCAACTAAATTTGAGTTTGTAGCAGCCTCCAAATAAGAAGAAATGAACACATGAATAAATGAACAGATTCATGAATTATTCTATACCAACAACGACAAAAAATCAAACCAAAAACACAGTTCAACAATCAATGAGGTAATTCGTAAATGGCTATACTTCAAATAATAGGCCTATTAGGAGAAAATAACTCGCTATAGTATCAAGCAAATTACCTCTTTCCACATGTTTTAAAAGGCAATGTCGACGTCGCTAAACTTTTTCCCTCGTAACAACTGAGCGAAATTTGTGTAATCTGTTATTTGCATACTTCACATTCACCGATAACGTGAAAATAAACAAGATATATGAAGCCTCATAAAATGGGTATCTAAAGCCCATTGCGCACCAACGTGTAAAATCGCTGGAGACAAAAGACTGAAAATGGTGTCTTAGTGTCCCTTGGTCCCCAAATTCAGTCACACAACTTTTTTGTTGTTGTTGTTTCTCTTTTCTTTGCCCATCAGTGAGCAGCGGAAAATTTCAACCTCTTCTGCTTCTGTCTTTGGTTACAAAACCACACTCGCACCACATTTTTTTTCAGGTCCAACTTTTCAGCTATAGCTGCTATTTTCTCGGACGACGGTCGAGGCTGTACGGCGAAGTACGCCTCCAAAGACCTCTTTTCTGGGGCCGCTATCGAGGTCCTCTTGCGTTTCTTTTCCCCTCCGTTGAAAATGTCAGGTTTGCTCATTTTCTCCCTCTGGGCCCCCTCGGCCTCCTCCAGCCAGGCCTGGAGGATAGGTTTGAGCGCAATCATGTTGTTGTGGGAGAGAGTTAACGACTCGAATCGACAAATTGTACTTTGGCTCAGTGATCCCACGCCGGGGATTTTGAGATTAGCCAGAGCGCCGCCCACGTCCGCCTGGGTCACCCCCAGCTTGATCCTCCGCTGCTTGAAGCGCTCCGCGAAAGCCTCCAGCTCCCTTGGGTCCGTGTCCGAGTCATTGATGGAGGGAAGTCCGGTGTTAGTGAGTCCTGGGCCGCCTTGACCCCCTCCGTGGTGGCCCGGTAAGAGCCCGTGGTGGGTGAGAGGCGAGTTCATGCTCATAGCCTGGTGGGAGAGGTGACTCAAGCCGTGCATGTGAGAGTGCGGATGGGCAGAGGAGGTGGAGATGAGCCCTCCGCCGCCACCTCCGCCGCCTCCGCCACCTCCACCGCCGGACCCGTCGTGCGCACTGGACATCAAGGCGAGGGACGGCGAGGTGATGTGGTCCATGATTTCTTGGGGCTCCAGGTTCTGGTGGTGGTGGTGGTGATGGTGATGATGGTGGTGGGCCAGTGGAACGGTGGATGTCGACGAGCATGGCACCGTGCTCATCGTGTGGTAGGTGGCGTCTGGCTTGAACGGGTGCGTCTTGCCCTGGGACACGGCGATATCCACGGCCGCCAAAGCCTCAGCCCGGGCCAGCAGGGTCTCATCCAGGCTCGCAAATATGTTACTCTGTAGCTGCAAGGGCGGAAATTAAAAAGGGGAGAGGAGGGGAGAATGATGGGGTGCGGAATGGGCAAGAAAAGGGGAAAAGACACGGAGAAAAAAGGAAGACGTAAAACATAAATAAATGTATCTGTCAGTCGGGACTTTTGGCGACACATAACACAGCCGGAGTATTCCTTCAGAAGCAAGTCATAAAAATTAATACAAAAACAGTAAAGCCGGGCTTTGCGTGAGCATGCTTTCAAAAAGAAGACTCCGAGTGATTGCCGAGGAATACATGAAAAAAACATTAAGTGCGCGTCTTGGCTGAATGTGCCTTGGTGCACCCCTTGTTATTACGCACAGACAGCGTTCAGCGCTACATGCAGCCTAGGCACGAAAAAAGGACAAAGTCGAAGTTTTTGGGGTGTAATTTACCTGTGGAGTTTGTAGACAGGCTCTCCTTATAGCTTCCGAGCTGGAATGCAAAGTGGTGTACTTGTGCTCGGGTAAAGAGGGATGCATGGCGAAGTGCGGCTGTTTGCTGTTCATGGACATCATCTTGGCGAGCTTCTCCAATTAAAGTGCACGGGAAGAAAGGGGGGAAAAACTGCTACAAGAGCAGGAAAATAGTCATAGATACACAGTGATCCTTTGCCTATCCAGTAATGATGCAGTGTAGTTCGCTGTGTAGTGCGCCGAGTGCAGCCTTGAGCCCGGAGATCACAGAGATGCCTGCAGTCTCTCAGACGCACTTATCTGTCTACTGTTTCCCACTGCTGGGGATGAGAGAGGCTCTTACACCTGAGCGCCTCAGATCTCGTCAAGCCCGTGCTCGGCTGCTCTCGCGAGACATAAACTGCCAGAACAGTGAACAGGCTGACAGATAAAAACTGCTCACAGGGCAAGCTGTAACATCTGGAGACTAGACGCCTGCGTTTTTAAGGGCTCGCTCCACTCCATCCAGCCGCCGAACTGCGCCGGTCGCAGTGCCTTTAGGTCTTATTCTGTACTTGGAGGCCGTAAACCATTGACTTAACGCTGTTTATTTTAGCAGTCATACACTTTAGACTGGTCTTTATCCATGTGATTCCAGGAAGTTTTTTTTAATCTGGAATTATAGTTGAGGAAGAACCAAAAATATGATTGAGTTCAATGCAAAAACTAACAGTCTACAAGACAGTGATATAAAACATAACATCTACATTTAATTCTATTCAATGCCAAATATTTAAATGTGTAGGTTACACTGTTTTCTGTCCCCTGTCTCTCATCTTAACCCTTTGGAAGTAATGAGACCGCCGTCTTATCATTAAAGCCCATCATCGCCAGATGAGCACTAAACAAATTGATTTAATACACCAGCGTAACCTTGTACACAGTCTTTACCTAAATTAATTAATCCCAATGAATTAACACTTCATTTATTCAAACCACAACGGTTACCCAATTAAAATTTCATGCAGCGATTAGAGGTATGTGAAATATACATGATATCGTTAAATTTGCATAATAAATAAGGCGCTTTTCTGCTACAATGGAATTACTGTGCGTGTGAGGTCTCTAATGTGTGTCGTTATGGGCTACAACATGCTTTTAACGGCACGAACAGGGTATGGGGTTTTTCCCGACTTTTAATGGCAGCAAATTAATAATTGTTGCAGTTTAATGACATGCAAATCACCAGGAAAAGAAACAAAAGAGAGGAATATGACAATTTGACAATGTCCACTAAATATTAATACTGAATTTTATGTAAATCACAATAAGGAACAATCACTTATGGTACCTCATGTAAATCCTCAAGACTGGTGGTTATTAGGAGACCTGAATCACGTGATCAAAGCACGGCAAAGGATGAGAAAATGCATAAAAAGACAACAAGTTTCATACATTACTTCTTGCATTACTATTTTATTTTCTAACACATTCTTACATTGCAGTATTTCATTCAAAACATTAGTTTTTCATGGCAGTCGAGTTCATCTGTCTTCAGTATATTGCATGTCATAGTAAAAAGATTAACATTAGGATCATGTTTACTGACCAACTTGTAATGACAAACACATACAAGTAGGCTGGAAGTGTGTTTGACAGCACCAAATCTGGTGCACTGCAGTGTAACAAAGGACAGAAGTGTTTGACAGATTACAACACATACACAAGTTCAGATTGTAAAGGTTGGCCTTTAAAACATTTAACTGTCAATGAGACCTACGAGTACACTACACAAGTACTGACAAACCTGCTACATTTTGTTTTAATTTACACAATATAACAGACAAAATGACAATAACTTACATCAGAGCATCATGTCCAAACATTTATTCTGAAGCAACATGGAGTTAAAGCTGTGGTTGGAAACTTTAACTAAAAAAAACTTTGTCATATTTGCTAAACTGTCATTATATTCACATAGTACATGAGACAGATTATGTGTGACAAAAATCATGTTCCTCTGCCTCATTGTAGTGCCTCTAATGGTATTCGCAAGAATCTGCTACACGTGAACAAAAGCAACCAATCAGAGCTGAGGAGTCTCTAATGCAGCTGTCATTATGTCAGTCGCTGCTGATAAACTGCAGTACAAACTGTTAAACTAGGCAGCGCTGGTCAAATATGAATCAAGACTCCATTAGTGCATTGTCTATTTCTTGCCTCAAATGGAAAATAAGTGAGCATGTGACCTGGCCGCCATGTTGAAAATAGTCAAGCCAAAACAAATCATCGCCCGCCCACCAGCCGAAGCAAACTTTCTCATTTTACAGCTAGCAGTGCACTAAAATATGTTTCTGAAACCACTGGGAGGAGAGAGATATGTAATGCAATCACAGAATCTTGATTCATATTTGATCAGCGCTGCCTAGTTCGACAGTTTAACCATAGTTTACGAGCAGTGACTGACATGATTTAAAGCTGCATTAGGGCCCGTACACATGCCGCGTCTTTAACCGCCTGGAAAACGTGAGGTCGGGCGCTGGGCACTACTTTTTGAGCCAGCCTTTAAGAGCGCGGCAGCAGGTTGCATCTGCGGTTGCGAAGCAAACTTAAAAAGCACCAGAGCTGATCTTCTTCTAGGCGCTGTTTATAAGGGTGTGGGCCAATCATCCATGGGACAGAAGAACAGCTCTGGCAGCCCTTCACCAAAATGATAAACTTTTCCGTATTTAACCCAGACAGATATTTACGCAAGACTGGAAAGATATCTGTTTTTATTATTGGTTGTTCCTTGTCACATGACATGTAATGTGTGCTGCTGCAATCCAAAAGTTTGACTCTGTTTGTCTCGGGGCGCAGCTGTCACACCCTGCAAAGTAGGCGCTCAGGAACACGTGTGCACTGCAATGGCGTCACTCTTGCGTTTGAGCACACCTGCCACACATCTACATTGAAAACAATGAATTTAAGGGCACAAAAAACGCAGCTTGTGACCGGCCCCTAAGTGACTCCTTGCCTCTGACTGGTTGTTTCCTTTAGCCAGGGTGGAAATTTTCAAATGCTGTGAAAAGCACTACAAGAGGGCAGAGAAACATGTATTTTTTTTTCAAGACTATTATCCCATGCTGTCTTGTCAGGGTATAGCGACAGTTTAAGCAAATCTGACGAAAAGGCATATTTACAAAAATTGCCAACTGCAGCTTTAATGTTTCCAGCAATGTGTGGTTGTGAAGCCTGACCAAAACACACTACAGCACACAATACAGTGAGAACACAAGTTTACATGAGCTTTGAAAGTTTTGTGGGACTGCTTGTGTTAAAGGGGCTGTGAGACTTTCTCTTTGTTGGCTGGCTGATGTTCAGTGCGTGTCTGTTTCTTGTTGTGTTCACAGGTTTACCAGTGCAGCTGGTGAAGGAGGAAGGGTTTACGTGGTCATGGTCTTGGCTTGCTGGACTCAGAGGGCCGGAGGGGCCAGCCTTACTCTCCTCCAGTGAATCAAACAGCAAATCAAAAGACAGTTCGTCAGTCTGAGAGGGACCATCATGCCCTGCACGGTTAGGGACATGGGCACCGCTCTTCCTACCTGACACAAGTGCAGCAAAACTTCCCTCTGCAGAGCCTTTTTGGGCCTCTTTGTCATTCAAGGTGCCACCCATGACAAGTGGTGGGTGGTTCTTCTGGTCACACGGTTTGCTTCTGTGGCCTGACAAGACATCTGGGCAGGTTTGTGGTTCTGGGACAAGAGTGTTGTCTAAGTCTGTGGGAGGGGAGGAAGCCAGGGAGGGCTGTGATCCCCGACTACTGGAACTCTCTCCATCCAACATCATGGAGTCCAACTCTGAGATTTTGTCCAGGTAAGCTGCATCCATGGAGGCCTCACTGGACATCCGGAAACCATCAGGCTCATCACCTACAAGAGTAGCGGATGGAGTTCCTTTAACTGAGCTTTCTTTACTTGGACCTGGGCATGACTCATCGTTAGATTTAGATCTCTGCCAACCTCCCCAGAAAACAGACTGTGAAGGTTCCACGTCAGTATTTGCAGGCAAGCCTTTGATGAACTTGTCAAGGCTGCTAAATTGGTTCTCCATGGTGCTGCAACTCTTGCCAGGACTAGGAAACTCTTCAAAATCGAGCCTCCTCAGATAAGACGCAGCCTTAAATGCGACTTTCTTTTCACGGATCCCGGGGCTTCTCAGAGTCAGGGACCGGAAGGCAGCGGATGGAGTTGTGGGTAAAAAGTCAGAGGAGGTGCTTTCCAAGTCCTCGTTTTTCTGGTTTCCAATCTTATCAGACTCTTTGTGATCTGAAGATGGCATGAACATCGAATTGTGATTTCTAGAAAATGTTCGGCCCTCTGCCACTGGAATGCTGCAGATCGACGCCCTCTCAGTATCACTCAAACTTCTCATCATCATATTGATTTTCTGTTGCTGTGAGAGACTTTCTGACCCAACCTTGCTATTGCTGCATGCTTTCTGCTCTTCAGGATGTATTTTCTCAGACTATCTGACCAGAGACTCCAGGTCTTCAATGTACTGGTCACTGCGCTCAAGAGCCCTCTTCAAGTGGTCCACGTCACGCTCATACTGCTGGATTTTAGCTTCTAGTGCTGCCACTGTATAACGTCCAAACCTGGAGACGGATCATTTTATCTTTAATTGTTCAAGGATCATTATGACAGAAAAGACATTAATTTTGTAATTTGTCATGCACATAGCCAAACAAATTTGTCTTGTGCAAGATAGCTCATTTGAAAAGAAAGTAAAACTAAGATATAAATAAAAATGATCTTAACTTTGTCTTTTGGAATATCAGTTTAGAAAGTGGTTTCTAAGTGTTGCTAATATGACAGAATTATGAACTTAAGCAGCAGTCACTACCTCCAACTTCAGTCATTTTAAGCTCACCAACTTTCTATAACAGTTCATGTTATCTGTACATTTACTCATGACAGTGACTCAGTAGCATTTGGCAAACACTTTTCATTTTTATCCCTTTCTAGCTGAATGCCAGTAAAAAATGAGACAAAATCCTTTATGTGTATCATTAACACAAGAAATATACTTACTTCTGAGGAGATCTGCTCACCACCTCTGCTTTCAATCTCATATTCTCTTGTACAAGGTCGACATTTTGAGATCGCAATGCCTTATTTGCCTGAGGATGGTAAAGTAACACATTTGCAGAAAGTTACAAATCTTTCCGATAAAGTAAACAGTACAGCTTAGTATTTATGCTACAGACAGAAGCATCAAGTAAGCATATCGTTCAGTGTTTGTACTGAAAGATGGTAACCAGGTAGGCAGGTAAAATAAAGAGCACAGTGCTAATAAAGTTTTTTTCCTTTCCTTGATAAAAATACAAGTTATTGATTATTATAGCTTCCATACCTCCTTTAGCTTATCCATGTCCTGCTTTACTTTATCACAAACATCTGTGGCAGCTCGCAGCTTGTTCGTCCATTCCTCCAGGACATAGGGGTCCACTTTTTTGTCATCTGCTTGCACTGTATTAATGCTGCAGGGATCCAAAGCAGTCTTCAGTTGTGACTCAAGACTCTGAGTTTTTGCTTTCAGCTCCTCGTTTTCTCTGATGAGTCCTTCAATTTCCTCCTATCAGAGAGAAACATGGTGAAACTCACAACAGGGTTAAATATATCACTATGTCATCATGATACTTAGAGGCTTATCACAGTATTGAGAAGTTACTGCAGCCACTATTACAACACTGTTTTTTTTTGGCAAACTGACAGCTGGACACTTTGTTGTAATCTGAAATAACAATGAATTACCTCCATGGAATCTACAACATTATGTTTCGACATATAAATTAGCTAATCGGCATCAGTGGATGGTGGCTGCAACTGAAACTCCAGCCATAGCCTTTGCTAAGATTTCTCTGGTGATAAACCCTTTAAAAAGTCTGTTAATTAAAATACATGGCATGATGAATCCATACCTCATACTCCCGCAAAAGCAGTTCTCCTCTGGTTTTTCTGAGACATTTTCTCATGGAGGGACTGTCGTTGTGATCGCTCTCATTTGTGCCTCCTATGACAGATTACATGGGTACAGTAACAGATAAACAGACTTGACAACAACACACATATCAAATTAATATTACCAAGTCACTCATCTTTGATGAAGGTGCTATAATGCGTTAGTTTTGTTTCTGTAGAGCTGCTACCCAAAAACAGTTATCTCAGACTCCCATACACACCTGCAGAGAATTGTGATAGTATTAATAAAGTTTTTAAGCCCTGTACTTATAGCATTCACCCAAGTAATAAGAATTATTTCACATTTCAGGAAATATGCTTGTTGGCTGTCTAACCAGAGTTGGGTGAGAATATTAAAGTCAACTTTGTCAGCACAGAAATTGGTCCAGACTCCAGGACACGTTTAGCCTACCTTAGCACAAAAACTAGAGGCAGATAAAAACAGCCAGCCTGAGTCCAAAGTGAAAAATGTGCCTTCAGGCAGCTCCATGATGCATCTCGTTTGCCAGCAAGATACCGATACATTCAAGAGTCACCTGGGTTTGTCTTTAGATAGGAAAGTGTGCAAAGAGGATGGGACTTTTGAGGTGCTGGGCCTGTCTGATCAGAATTCAAGTTGTATTCACAAACTGAGATTAAAAAGGTGTTTTAAACAAGCTTGTATTTTATTTATATGATTACATAAACTGATACACTACAAGTTCAGGCTGCACAGAAGCCAGAACTGCAGCTATAAAAGCTCTGCTGCCTGCCTACCTGCCTGCCTTTTGTTTTTAAAACTGCTACCTTTCTTTTGCTAGAAATATTCTAATAGATGACTCAAAGCATCCAAGGCTGAAGTCCATTAGCTATGACTGGGCTACATGTTTGCATATCAGTGTAGGCTGTCTTATTACAATGTGATCAAAAATGATAAGGCATTAAAAAAAAGAAGAAAGGAAAGAAATTCACTCAGGAAAGACTATCCTTTGTTTCATCTGCTATTGGTTTTGTAAACAAATTACAGCCACAGATGTTATGTCATTGTGTCTTCTTTTTCCACGTTTCATGCTGACAGTGTAGGAGATATTAATCTTGCCCTGTGCTGTGTGTATGATGTATTGTATGCATTTGTCTTGAACTACTGTGTGAAAGGCAAACTGCCCCTCGGGGACATTAAAGTTTTTTCAATCTTGAATCTTTCCAAACAACAACTGGTTTTGTTTGAACCTGGCTGACACTCTTCACTGTTAGTATTTATGTGGTCTATAGACTAGTGTGATGGGACAAGCAAAACCGTTTTACTAACAATTGACTGACTGATTGATTGTGAGGCCACATGGTACAACTCCAGTGAAATGCAATCCTGTCAGATCCTTAAACTGGTACATTGCTGTTTAGTCCTTTTTTGCCTCCTCTAATATGGCAGGCTGCTGCTTTGTAATTGTCCATGTTTCCAGACTGCAGCCCTATTTTGTAGCATGCAGTATGTTGTTTGTGTGTTTACGGCACCCAGATGAATCTAGTAATCCATGATTTCTGGTTGTGGCATGATTAACTGTTGTTTTAGGTAAATTAATCTGAAGTTTAATATACTGCAGTGATACAGTCCACAATTTTCTATGAAGCATGTGGAAATCATAGTCCGAACTGCTGTCAAATGGATGAATAGCAAACTGTTAGTTCACTCATAATCCAATAACTGAGTATTTGTTAAGTAGTGGCTGGACTATTGATAAAACATAACTGCCTAAACTTGACAGCAACTTTAACAGCATGCCTTATTGAACATGATGTCACCATGACTCAACTGTGAGATGCTGCAGGCACAGGAAGCCTCATATTACCTCTCCTCTCTTGCTTTGTGTCTGTTTCCCCATGTTTGTATGAAGTTACTCACCGATGATTTCTCTGCATGGGCTCTCTGCCGTGATGGAGACTCTGCAGGTGGGACACTGGCTAGCTTTCTTTAACCACATTTTCATGCAGAATGAACAGAACACGTGGTGGTTGGCACAAATGACCGGCTGCTTAACCTGAAACACGAGCAGATTGTCGGTAAACTTTGTAAACACGGTATATTAACGCCAGGAAACACAATTTGAGTTAGTTACGGTAGCTAATGTCAACGTCTTGTTACGTTTAACTGGCAACGTAGAAACGTTAACGTTAAGTTACTATCTCGTGCCAACCAAACATCTTCGAATAACGGCTGACAGACGTTAACGGTTAAGAAACGAAACGGCGGTTACCTTTCCGAGACATATCTGACACGAAATCGGCAAAGTCAGAGACAGAGTGGATGTCTGAAAGTTGAGAGCCATGCTTTTTGCAGGAACACACACACACACAACAAACTTCACCGCGGAGGTACAAATTTCCCACCAGTACCCGCTGCACCGCGCGCCGAGTCTAAACTACGGAAAGCCAGAAAGACCTAAAAGGCTAGATTCGCAAACGTTTATAACCGTTGCTGACAGTATAACTGTCAGCATTACTAGCCATTTCAAACTGTTTAACTTGAAAACGGTTGAGTAGGCATATTAATCCGTCGTGGATTAAGGAGAGAAATACTACTAATAATTGTGTAGAAAAAAACCCAGTTGAATTATTACTTTGTGGAGCTGTTATAGATAATGTTTTGGCAAAATGTAGACTATTTAAATGTTGACAAGGAGCAACATTAGCATTCATTTGGAGTCCCAAGAGTGACCACCTGGCAAATGTAAGTCCAATTTTCACTTTTCTTTTTAGTACTAGTTCGTCTCCACCAACTATTTAGAAAATATGTATCTCTTTTTAGCACTTAAATGGTATTTCCGCTAGCTAACGTTAGTGGTTTACTTTAGCCACTGTTCAGTGCTAACAGTGTTCAAGTGATGACGTTTTTCTGTAGGCTAACGCGGAAGTTGGCATCGCACTGGTTCCCTTTTCAAAAAGCTAGTGGGATTTTCCATTGGATTTTGGATTGTTGCCGAAAGTAAACTCTTTGGCTAACAAACGTTTATGATACTTACAGGTGTTTTTTGGCAAAGTAATCTTCACAAGTGAGCACCATTTTAATGATCATGGAAGCCTGAATGCAATTGCCAGAAGTAAAAAGCTAATGCTAGGCTATAAACGGACCACACTAGTGATTCCCAACTGGTGGGTCTGAGTCCAAAAGTGGGTCACGGGTTCATCCTGAATGGACCGTAAGTGACTTACAAACATGTCACATTTGTAAAAAAAAAACAAAAAAAAAAAACAAACACGCTTTATTTTGGGTACAGTGAATTTCCGGCACAGCTTTTATTTTGAAGTTCCGATGTGACTGACTTATGGACAGCTACTTGATGAAGACCACAAACTAGCTTAACAACATGGCTAAATGCAAGTGTGATGCTGAATATATTTAACTGCAGAGACCATAAACCAATGACTAATGAGAAGTCTGGACCCCATGGCTGGACCAGTTGGAAACCGCTGAACTACACTGTGACCTAAGGTCACCACCAAAACAAGACTCGCAGCTTAGCGTGATGATGTTTTGTAGTCTCATTTAGCCGCAACTGCCTTTTAAAGACACATAAAGGCTTCAAAGTTCATGTGTGGGGTTTTTACTGACGTACTTTATATCGTAGAACAAAATGTGAAAATCTCTTAAGCTTGTATTAACCACATACCTTATTTCAGGCATCTAACTAACACCTCATTCAAAAGACCCAATGACTTTGAGACTGGTAAAATGCTAACTAATTTCCAGGTTTTAGGACTCGTTCCTGGCGGACTCTAGTAGTATACAGTAGGTTTATTAAGACTGCTGCTGTAGCCTTGATGAAAGCAATTAAACTAAACTGTAGGAATATGAAAATACTGATAAGTGGAGCTGCAAATATGAAGAGACATTAGTTTGTTAACAATTTATTTTTGTGCATTAGGCTAGTCTCTAATCTGAGAAGAAATAACAAAATTATTGATTGGTATGATTTAGGCCCACCTAATAGTAGGCTACATGTTATTTAAAGGAATGCTTGACCCACAAACTGACTCTTTGCATGTCAGTTAGTCATGCCATGTAACCTTGAATCGTGAAGAAAACATAGCTTTTCTTGCGTGTCTCCAAAGAAAACGGCAAACATGTAAATTTATTGATTGATCGGGGACCACATTTAACAGCAGCAAAACTATATCAAAACATCTGTTTACAAGCTCTCACTCAGCCCATGCATTATAATCCAAGTCTCATTTATCCAGTTGAATACTCAGTACTTCCCAAACATGCATTTTGCTAAAACCTTAATATTTAAAACTGAACTGAAAGTAAAACTTATCTGTGCTCTCTTCAAAGCCAGACTCCAGTTCTAAGGGTTGTTTTGGAGAAAATGCATGTGTTTGGGAAGTACTGAGCATAAGACTGGATAAATGAGACATGGATTACACTGCACGAGTTGTGTGAGAGTTTGTAAATGGATGTTTTGCTGTTGTTTAAGGCGGTCCCCAATCAATCAATAAATCAATATGTAGCCTATGCATGGCAAACGTATGCAAGAAGGCATGCAAGAAAAACAATGTTATCTTCACAAATTCAAGGTAAGACAGCGTAACTAACTGAGAGTAAAATGGTCATTTTGTGGGTAAAGTATTCTTTTTAAGTAGTTAGTATATAGTAGTAGTTTTCTCCATAACAAAAGCTTAGAGCTGTGGTATGAAATCAGCCTGACAAATCCATTAAGTAACCAATAAAACAAAGAATGGATGAATGAATATTCATAGGTCTTCTAAGATGAGAAATGTATTTGTTGTCTAAGTATTCCCTTCATCAAGTTTCTGTTTCTAGAAGTCTTAAGTTTATATTTACCTTCTTCAACTGATATTTTAATGTTGCAACACTTTCAAATATCAAAAACAATTTAATCTATAATACATGATGTTTGGCCATTTGATGTAACCTCGACTAACCCCAAACACATTAAATATGCACAGTTAAAATTTTAATCCTCAGCTAACCTATTTTGCTTTAGTGGTTATTAAAGGTGGGAACTGAAAGTTGCACATCATATTGTATGCATCCAAAGCAAAAGTCAGCTCATGGGTTTGATGGGCAAGACAGCCGTACTCCCCACAAAAATCTGTAAAGCAACCAGACCAGCAACCAGAGAGATGCTGAAATTGGGGTGTGATTTGCATGTCGCACATGAAACTGGAAAATAAATGTTAAAAATGAAACTGGGAAAGATAATCCTAAAAGAGTTTCCAAAGGTTTAATGTGGTAAAAATAAATAAATGTTATACTTACAGATATACAGCAGCATACAGATGCTTTCTATCAGGGGTAAAATTAGCTTGTAAACAAATATAGCTGTTCTTCGAGTAAACTACTCGGTTTTATGCACACGTAGAAGTTGTGGCAAAACTTAAAGCAGACAGGGACTAGAGTGAGTAGGCCTCATGTAGAAAAATAGGATGCTGTAGGTCAATGTGCTCCCAACAACTAACAAAGTAGTGTCTTAGCTTTGGTTTCTCATGGTTATTGTTTTTGTTGCTTTGTTGAAAACTGAGGGACCATATTGCAGTGTAAAATAGAAAAACGTCTGCATCACAGCGTATTTACTGCAAAATGACAATTCTGTACTTAGATGCCACAACAGCACACTGATTCATTTAAAGCCTGCCCATAATGAAGATTGCAATGTAATATTTAGCAAGCCTTTGTCTCAGGTAAACGATCTAATTTATAAATAATGATACAGAGTGATCTAATATTTGCATAATTTCTACTACAAATATTTCAAATTACATCACCACCACAGTTTAGCCCCTCAGAGCCATTACTCATATCTAAACCAACATGTCCTGTGCTTCATTGTATCTCGAACCAAGACATCGTCTCAGGATCTAATACGATTAGAATTGACTGACTGCGAAAAAAAGAGCTTGTACACTGATCCCAGTTTAAAAGCATCACCGGTACTTGTTTGGTTGTTTTCAATAGAATATTAAATGGATCACAGACCACTACTTGTTCTCACTCATTGCGCTGTTGGTTTCATGAGAACATTTGGAGTGAGTGTACACAATTACAATTATTACATTGAATAATAAGTAAATATACTATCAATTTGCATGACATGATTGGGAGTTACTTTTTATTATCACCGAATAACCTAAATTTAATGAGAATTTATTATACAGGCCTTTGAAACAGCAGGTACTGTCTATACAAACAAGGAATTATTCAAATATTTTTAGTAACCTTTTGTGATTGAACTAAAAAAAAACTGGATTTGTTTGCAGCACGCGCTCCCATTCAAGCTTGTATTCGTCTCAGTATCACAAGTGACTTCAAACAGCACCTGACATGCAAGATGCACTTTCTAGTGTGCCATAGTAAACATGCAAATTGTAACTAAGGTGGTTCCTGAATTTGTTACTTGGAAACTCACAGTAGAAACCCAATAACACACTGAAATGGAAGAGAAGCTGATTTTCGACATGTCCCATTGTCCCTCTAAGATTGCATTGCTTTGCAACAGGCCAGTCATTAATTGGTGACAGTCAATTAATCACTGCTGGTACAGACGGCTGCATCTATTGATCTTGTCCGAGCGCTTATTTTTCATCCCTAAATGACACCGATTGCCAGATTTGACCAGCATGTGTAATGGACAGTGAAGAACCAATGACCCGGTGTCAGTCTTACCACAGGTCGGAGATCTGGATCCCCCTCCCCCACCCCTGGCAAATAGCATCTTTACCATTTAGCTTGGAAAGGTTTAGACTGCCCTAAGAGCACAGCAGCGAAACAGTGCGCTCTGGTGCTCAGATGACCTTTTCTGTTTAAGGCTTAATCTCTGACAAATGCTTGCTTTAATTAGCCTGATACCCCCTGCCTGGACTGCCACCCCACCCAGCTTCCCTCTCTCTCCCTCTCTCCCTCCATCTCTATCTCTATTTCACCCCGTCTTCCCCAGCGTGCTTTTTGGAAATTCTCAGACACACATCAATGTGATTTAGATAGGAATGAAATAAGAGTCAGGGAGCCAGAGGTGCGACAAAATGTGGGGAATCTTCTGAAGTATTGCTTTTAAGGGGATGATAAGACCAATATGGTGTATAAAACATATAAGAGGAGAAAATGTAACAGTACTTTTTTATCATCATACCTAACAAGTTCCCATATTATTAGAATTGCAGTATTTTACTCATAAAGGCAACACAGTGTAGTTTAGAGAAGGCAGCATTTGAAACAGTGTAAAGTATTTAGATATAAGCACTCATTCCATGACAATGGACAGATATTTGAAATGCAACAAAAGAGAGCACAACACAGACAATGAGGGGTAATGTTGGGGAGAGCGTATAAGAGTAAAAAGATTAGCCAGTGCACATTAGGAGGGTTTAAGATAAC